GAGAGAGAGAGAGAGAGAGAGAGAGAGAGAGAGAGAGAGAGAGAGAGAGAGAAGGGAGAGAGAAAGACAGACAGACAGACAGAGAAAGAGACAGATATCGAAAGGGAAAAACTCCAATAGACAAGCAAACATCTAAATAAAGAAAAAAAAAAACAGGAAAACAGATAAACGCACAAACAACAAAAGAAAGAAAGAAAACAATAACAACAAAAAAAAAAAACACCGAAGAAAACCAGAACCACCAAAACGCAGAATAACTTATCCATCCCTTTCTGGAAGCCTCGCAAAAGACACTTACCAATAGGTTTGACAGCGCCCCTGACATCCTCCAGCAGAGGTGACCTTCCAGGCTCGATGCCAACCACTCTCTGAAGCCAATCTCGCATCTGCTCCCGGTTGCTCTGCGCTCTAAAAAGTGTTTTAGGCTCGTAGTAGGCTTTAAGGGGGGATACGGGTATATTCTTATTTTTATTTATCTATTTCGTTTATTTTTAGATGTTTTGATTGATTTTTTTTCTTTTCGTATTGTGCGAATTGGGAGATGAAATCGCTGTGTCTGTGAACTTAGGGAATTATATTTTTTTGTAATTAACATTAGAAAACAAACTAAATGAAAATCGTAGGGGCGATACATACTAACAATATTTTTATATTCGTGAAAAAAACATTGATCTTGTACTGGCGAAATTGCGTATAAAAACATACTGGCAAAATTCAAGGTCTCTCTTTTTTCTTACCAATATTAATCTCATAAAACTGGTTACAGCCACATATAACGGTGGGTCATATACACCAGGTCCTGTTTAGGATTTTACACGCAAAGTTTACAGTAGACCAGGGAGCAGCGTGGAAGAATCTATTTAGATTACGACATGTGCGCGCACGTGTATTTGTATGTATACCTAGACACACACACACACACACACACACACACACACACACACACACACACACACACACACACACACACACACACACATATATATATCCATCTCTCTCTCTCTCTCTCTCTCTCTCTCTCTCTCTATATATATATATATATATATATATATATATATATATATATACATATATATATACATATCTATATGCATACACACACACATCTATCTCTCTCTCTCTCTCTCTCTCTCTCTCTCTCTCTCTCTCTCTCTCTCTCTCTCTCTATATATATATATATATATATATATATATATATATATATATATATATTGACATACACATGCATACATACGAACATATATATACATACACACACACACACACATATATATATATATACATATATATATATATATATATACATATATATATATATATATATATATATATATATATATATATATATATATATGTATATATATATATATATATATATATATATATATATATATATATATGTATATATATATATATATATATATATATATATATATATATATATATATATATATATATATATCCAAGCACATATAACCGTATAAACGTATTCAATTTTTCGAAAGTCCATACATATAGTCTATCCGAGAAAGATTACAGAAACCGCAGCTCAGTCCAACCCTTTCCCAGGTAATTCACTGCCATTATTTCCTCCAACGAGCTGAATCAACACAAATCCTCAAAATAAAAGGAAAAAAAAACTAGAAATTCCGATGATAAAGCAGTATGCATACTCAACTCTTTTTTCGGTGGCGTAGAATGTGATATAGGGTGTTAGTTGATATGAAGAAGGCATTTATATTTTATGATACACAGTCATTTGGAATTCTTGGAAAATGTAATCTGTGAAATTTGATTATGAGCGTCTTTGTCTAAATATACATATATACATACATACATATAGACATACATACATACATGTATACATACATATAGATATATGTCTGTAGACACATACATGCATACACACACGCACACACACGCGCGCGCGCGTAAATACACCCATAAATACACGTATGTAAACAGATACGTTCGTAAATGAAAAAGAGAAATATAATTTATGTATATATACTTAACATAACTACTCACTTTATAGAACATGTCACCTCAAATTACTCAAAAGGAGGTTCCATCACCGCCACCAAATTATAGCCTACGGGCGGGCAGTAAAAAAAAAATCAGTTTGCCAGGCCCCTATTTAGGCTGTTGAGGGCAATAACACTGTAGTGCCTATGGTGATTGCGCTGCGTACTTCGTCGGAAAGTGGGTTACTGACATACTGACAGAAATGGGTGGTGTATTTTGTGTTGATTCGTTTCACGTGATTGTTGAATTTAGGGTCTGATGGAGGATTCATTGCCATGGAATACACATACACACATATACATGCATACATCCACACTCACATACATGCATATATCCACACACACACGCATACGCACATCCACACACACACACTCACATACACACATCCACACACACACACACACACATCCACACACACACACACACACACACACACACACACACACACACGTAGACACGCGCGCATCCACATCCA